TCTCTTTCTATCTATCTATCTATTTATCTTTTTTAACAATGACTTCAACACATTTTTTGTTTGAAAGTATTTTTAATAATACTCATGCAGAACTTTCAAGTTTACAACATCAAATGAAAGAACTTCAAACAGTTTATCAGTCAAATGAAGCAGTGCCTATTGATGAATCTGAAACTGATGAATCTGACCAAGAAGAAGAATCTTTAGCTAAATTTACTGAACATACTGAACCTACTTTAGATGAATCTACTTTAAATGAACCTCTTTTAAGTGAATTTGTTTTAAGTAGTGAACAAATAAATAAGTTTAAAAAAATTTATTCAAAAAACAAAATTGATAATAATGTGAATGATAATGATAATGTAATTCAAAAAATAAAAACTTCATTAAATAAAAAAGATGAAGAAGCTCAACTTATAAAGTTACAAACAGAATTTTGTTGTAAAGACAGATGTCTTCAAAAAATTTCACATGAAGATGCTTTAGTAACTTATCAAAATTTTCAAAGTTTAAGTAAAAGTTATAGAGATATGTTTATGTTAGGATTTTTATCTGCAACAATTCGAGATGAAACAACTACTAAAGGTCAAAAACGTCTTCGACTTGCTAATATCTATATGTTTGAAGGAATAAAAATATGTAGCAATGCATTTTCAATAATATATGGAATTGGTGAAACTTATTGGAATAATATTCGAACTCATTTTGCAGAACAAGGAATTATTCCAAGAATTCATAAAGCAACTGGAAAAATTAGTAATTTTGCTATATCATTTGAAACAATTTTAGAAATTCTTACTTTTATTATTAATTATGCAAATATTCATGGATTACCTTCACCTGGTATTTATATAATTTATTTTTATTTTGTTTTAAAATTTTGTAATATAATAACTAATTTAATAATTTTTAATAAAGGGCGACATTTTCATAGAGATACTTTACCAATAATTTTCCTTCCTGCTAGTGAAAGTTATTCTTCATTATATCGTTTATATATAGAAAATCAAGACCAAAAACCAATACATTTAACTACTTTTTGGCGTATCTGGAATAAATATATTCCA